GCCCGATAATTCGAGCTTAAACTCGATTGAAAATTGAGTTTGATAGTTGAAAGGAATGAAATATTGATGAAATCTTTTTGAAGAAAGAATGGTACCTCGTACTATAAACTACAGTGTTCATATTAAAATAATTAAGAAAGTGTATTTATATACACGGAACATAAATAAATAAATAAATAAATATTATATAATGTATACATAGCTATGTATGTATGTAAACAAATGGATAAACTATTTATACATAGTTATGGCGATAATTATATATAATATATATGTATAAAAGACGGGGTGCCCTGCAACTTAAAAGTTTTGATAATTGAGTATTTCATAACAGTAAAAAGAGAAATGACAGTCATACAAGAAATAACTAATATATTTAACAGTTATTTAAAATTTGCAGTAAAATATAATATCAGAATATTCCAAATTAAGATACTAATGTCGAAATATTTATAGTCAACCAAATCTATTAAAAGCATATTCCTCTCGATTTATCGGAATCCTTTGTCCTCTAACGAAAACTCATTACTTTCTCTGTTTCATCTTTGAGAGTGATATATTACAAGTTGTTAACAGTAACCAAAATATTCTGATTCATAATATTCGTATAAAGAAACAAGTAAAATACGTTGTGCAATGGGTTACATACATACATATATATATAAAACATAATTTTATCGATCCGTTAAGAAAAAAACTTCTCAAAGATGAATCAATAGGAAAGTAAGATCAAGTAAAAATTAAACAAAATAGTTCTATTATATATTGTCTGTTGTAATGCTTAAATGCAATAAGATAAGCTTCTCGGCAAAAGGTATATGTATAGTTCGACTATCTGTGAAATCGATATTTGCTTTCCAAACAGTTATTACTAGAGCACTACTTATTAGAGGATGTTTGTGCGAGTTTCCGTGTCGCGTGTCGAACACCTACTACGCACGAGTATATATCGAGTGTTCGATAAAGTCAGATGACACTGAATTGACAAACTCGGCTAGTGCATCTTATTTACACAACTGTTCCGCGTGCGACGCGGGAATTTTGCACTAACCTTGTCCAGGCCCTGGTTATTACATAACATTATGTGACAGAGTCAGAATGTAATGTTACATATAATACATATAAATATATATACATACATATATATGTGTATATTGCTAATCGACAGAAATGTTGGAAATCAATCATAGTTTCGTATATCTAAAAAATGTTATTATATTATATAAAAGATGCAGAAATTATGTTGGTAATAGTATTGTATCATTTTCCATGTTGCAGCTATATAATCATTATAAGAGATACAATATATATTAACAGAAACTATGTAGATTTGTAGAAACTATGTTTCATTATATTTCAATTACTATAATGATTAATACAAATGTATATATATATATATATATATATATATATATATATGCGTATGTGTGTGTGTGTATGTATGTATGTATGTATGTATTTATGTATAAAACTTTATACCAACAGCAATGATGTGCATTGGTCAGCGTATATGTCTAAATTTAGCTGTAGCTTATGTAGTTATAGAACTACAGTTTTACGTAAACTTTCATTAGTTTAGTAACTTTTAGTGACGTTCCATTACAATTCACATTACGATTTAAATAAACAAAATATAACCTAAATTTTCTCTGAAAAGAACGGTGCATATTAATTTTGAGCTATACATTTTTATTTATGCAAATTATTTTGAAAAGTTCAATATACAAACATACCAAACTTTACTAGGCTTGCTTATACCTTTGTTTTTTACTGTATTTTTTATTAATTATAAACAGTATTTTAGATTGTATCTCTTTGATTTTATCTATTATGACATATGTATACATATAAATACTTTATTTAAATGAAAGATACGTATGTATCTTTCCTTCAAACGAAGAAAGGTTCTTGTTTTTTATTTTTATACATTTACATTTTTGTAAAATATAGAATATTAATATTTCTAAGAATTTGGCAGAATGTTTCGTTCTTATAGTTTATATTCTTGCCTAATACTTTATTTTGTTATTACAGATTACAGAAAGTATTTATCATTATATATATAAAATATGAATAGTATTTCTTTTTATTTAAGACATCCTCTAGAATCGATTATTTCTCTTTAGATTTTATTTAAATGGAGTGACATTTTTTATATTTGATCGTAAGGAACAAAGGATAATCACAGCCTACTTGTGTAAGAAATTTTATAATACTGATTGCCTGCTCTATGTGTTACACATACGATAAATGACGAATTGTTTGTGTGCCACGAAATATATATTGGTTCATTACATCTCGTACTCTTTCATAATATAAGATAATATTTTTAGGTACGCTCAAGATGATGCTATAATTTTACATAATTCGTAATGGTTGCTAGTAAAATGATTACTTGTTTTTCTTTACATATATACATATCGCGAAACAGGTGTCTCAAGATTCTGTGAATAACATTTTAATAAGTCTATATCATTTTTCGATTTATATCTTTTTCTTTATCGCGTATATAAACAAAAACATGTTTATTTTACATTCTGTCTAACATTCCATGCTTATAGTGACTAACATATTGTGTACGTCATATAAATATTTGTATTATTTTTGTTATTTATTCCTGTTTTTTAAGAATATACTTTTACGTTTTAAGTCTGCTTGGAGAACACATATGTGTTTATGTAATAGCAATATAATTCGAAGTCAGTAAAAGAAAGATTTTTTTCTTCGATTTTGAGAATACAGATATTGTTTTATTAATTTTATAAAACGATTACATTTGCATGAATAAATAATCATATAAATTATCATATAAAATAAGCTTTACAATTGATGTACAGATCTTCAAGCAGCGTACAAATATAGTTCGTAAGTTTATACTTTAGCATTTTTGTTGTTTAGTTTATTGAAAATAGTATACTGCATATTTAATATGTAATAGTTACCCAGCTTATAACAATTAATTATATTTTTATTGCATTTGCAATTTTTATATCATGTGACATCGCAAATTTATGTGAATTTATTTAATGTTTACCTGCAACTATCATGATTTAATATGTACACATTACACACAGTAAATTCTATTTACATTTATAAAAATATTCTTAAATAGCATATATGAAAGTAATGGAAATGTGTAGCCTTATATCACTGAACAGTTCTATAAAAAATAATATTGTGATTCTCAAGTCTGTCTTTATTGCATACATGCATCATTTTATATATTATTACTACATAAAAATTTTAGTCATTTACAGTTATAATTTATTTATTACGTCCTGTAATGATTCAATTTAAAACAATGATCAAATAATAATTGTTTGGAGATTGTTAAAGAGAATTAAATAAGTGGTAATGTAATTACTTTATTATTGGCATGAGAGCGCGTTAAACGGATTTCCTTATTTTTAATTACATTATTCCAAAATGGTCTCGGTGTTATATGATTATCCTTTGTACTTCTGATGCTAGATGCTAATATTACATATTACAAAATATGTTATTAATATATAACAATGGAAATAATCTTTTTTTTTCTTTTTTTTTTTTACCTGACTTCCAAGATGGGAACACATGTAGCTGGCTTCCTGCCGAAAGAGATCCAGGGGTAATTGTTATAGACAAATGTGGTCCAGGATGCTGAAAAATTGCTCTCGAAATAGATCTTTTGAAGGCTGGTGGCAAGTTCAGAGAACCTATAATAAATTTTCTGTTTGTAACTGTGTTTCTATTTAAAGGAAAAAATCATTATTGGCATACTTGTTATATCATCTCCTAATAGGATTTTAGTTGCTTTTTTTGTACGTTGATTGTATTTCTCTATTTTAAATTTTTTCATAAAATTTCGACAAATGTCAGTTACAATTTTTCCGTCGAGATTAGCTGTATGAAATAAAATTATAATTGAGTAATAAACGTGAATAAGTGGCAACAAATGTTGAATATGTAACTTTACCTAGCGAAACACTATTTGCAATCAGATTTTCCTTATATCTGTAAGATGTTGTAACGGGATTACCTTGTAAAGACAAATCTTTTAAAGAAATCAATGTACTTATTGTTGCAGTTAAATCGTCCACATTATTGATCAAATTATTTTTTGCATTCAACGTGTGTAATTCTTGAAATCCTATTAGATTTCTCAAGGATGTCATTTTGTTTTCAGAAATATTAAGAACTTTTAGACACATCTAAGAAAGAAAATGTTTAAAAAAAATCTCAACGATTAATTTATATAATGAAAATGTTTGAGATTCAAATGATACTCTTACAGATAAAATAAAAGCGCTGCGTGGCTCAAAGCATAATGATTCACCGAGTGATATTTTCTGACACTCGATATGCAATTCTTGTAATTTCTTTGTATTTTCTAATCCTTCAACTACAATAATATTATTGTGTCCTAGATAAAGCTTTTGAAGATTCTCTAGAGATTCCAAATTTTCAATTTTCGTTATGGTATTATGTTGTAAATACAGATGTGTCAAATTACATGCAAAATGTAAATTCTTTATTTTTGATATGTTATTATTCTGAAGATATAGGACTTTTAGGCTTCTGTAAGTAGCGATGTTGCCCTACATAAAACGAGAAATTTTATATGCATTGAAAATAAATTTTATAATTTATTAAATTGATATAACTTACAATACTGCTGATAAACATGTCATTCATATGTAAATGAGTTAACTTCCACAATTCATCTTTTTTTATTGTTTTACTCAGTGATTTACTAGTTAATATTTGAGAACACTTTCTTTCGACGATATCTGTTGTTAATTTCACCATGCTTGCAAGAGAAATATAAATTATGAAAGTGCAATAAGCTATCTGCAAAGATGGTCGCAGAATTTCATTGATCAAACACAGAACGTAACTCACATAACGACGATATGAAATATCAAGTTTTGTGCTGCGATTTTATGTATACGAAACAAAAATTAATTTATTTCTTGTATGTTATAAACATAATATTACAATTCGATTTGACAAATAGGTTAATCTTCTAGCTAATCTAAGAGAAAAAATTTTTCTTTGTTCTTTGACTCTTATGATATAGATTTTTGCACCATGGCGAGACTCTAAACATAAAAATAATAAATATTAGTATACGTTTTGTATAAATGAAAATGTATTACAACTTACATGTGTAATTGTCAGTACTCCTTTTGAAGACAAATGATTTAAATCTTCTATGAGTTTTTCGATTTGACACTTTTGATTAATAGTCTAAAAGAAAAATTAATGTTATTATCTTCTCTCTTTCTTTCATACTATATTTTAAAACATTGACTCAATTACCTCTAAGACAAACTTGTTTTCGGTATCATTTAAAAATGGTAAAAGTGCGGCAGCTAAGTGAGCCTGTTTACTTTGGAAACAATTTCTCACGATTACGGTGAAGTCTAATTCGTGTGCCACAGGACACGAATATAGCAGACAAACCGCTTCTATGCAATTATCAATTTGCTCCAGATTTGGATTTATGTCCATTTCGCTAAACGGTTCGGAGATGATCAATTGCCATCCCATTTTATAACCATTACAATTCACAATGACATTTTTATTTCGTAATTGTAATAAAACTTTTTTTAAGTCGCTTACCTAAAAATACATATTTAGTATAATTTTCGAAGCAAAAGAGTATATCTAACAAATTATAATCGTTACAACCATTCGTAATTTTGTCATCTGAGTTAAAGTATTATCCCAAAGTAGAATATCATTTATTTCAAACTCGACGCAAATCTGTGCTATAACAGAGAGAGCATAGGGTAAGTGACGTTGACTTTTCCATAAAATCTGAACAAGCTCCCGTTTACAACACGTTTCAAATGAATCAATACTGTAACATAATCCTAATGATTCTAATTTCCCAATGTACTGTAACGATTTCATATATTTTCTGAAATATTAAAATATTAACGTTTTATTGCAAGATAAATCTACCTTCCTTCCTTCATAGTTTATTATAATCTGTTTTGTGTTTACCTAAAAGTACATATATCTTGCTTGGTCAATTCCTCCAACGTAGAAGTATCTACGACAGTCTGCAATATCTGAAATACTCGATATCGTACGTTACAATTATATTCAGTATTGCCGTGACGATCGCCAAAGCCTATATTTATAAGAAATTGTGCAAACAAATCCATATCTCCATATTCCAGCATGTAACATATCCTACAAGTATATTTTAAGATCAATTATTAATCTAGAAATTGACGATATAAAAAAAAGGTATACTGATAATATTACTTAAGTAAATTATCTTCACAATCTATATTCTGATCAGATTCTTTTGGCGCTAGAAACGTCTCTGTAAAACTTTGAGACAATTCAGTGTATCTGGCATTGGATTGTAGCCATTCTTCCAATAAATCCATACGCAATTTTATCGTATTCAACGAGAACAATTTACCCAGTTCGTTAACGGCAGCATTAATATCGGGTCTATATTTGGTTGCGGTTCGATATCGTAATGGTATACTTTCGTCATTATACAATGCATATACTAGCTTGCTCGGATGATCGATTAGAGCAAGATACTCATCCTTCTCCAATCTGTACGTACGTAGAATATGCTCAGACGTAAATGTTAAATATTTGGATTTAATTTTCTGAAAGCAGACATAACACACGCATAGAAGTCAACTCATTTTTTCATATAACACATAAAGACACGGTGATTACAGAGATTACCGTACTTCTAACTCTTTTCCTTCTTTGAATTTAGTAGAATTTTGTGCTGCTAGCTGAGCATACTCGTAACATTCTTTTGCGGCAGCAACGCGATCAGCACCCGGAGGTGTATAATTTACGATATGATACAATGCTGCAGTACCATAATAGAATCCATCTGAGTCTGTCAGCTGTTGTATACATTTCTTGCTATCTTTCAATAATGTGGAGTTTCTTGAATAAAGCGACCATGTAGTATTTTTCGATTCAATAGAATTATTTGCCCATTCTTTTGCCACTTCACCCTTAATAGCTAATGAGCATATGAGATGTGCTTCTAAATTAAGTACAGGTGCAATGTCAAGCCATTTGTCATAGGTTTTTAAATTTAATTCAGGAGCTATAGTAAGAGAATTAATAAAAATTAAGTTAAATAATCATTTAAGTACCAATTAAAAATTTATTTCTAAAATATATTTACTAATAATTTTCCAAATATCGACTTTAAGCAAGAATGGAAGTCTCCATTGTGCTATCGGCGGCAACGTACTATGTCCAGGATTAAGCTGTACCCATTCATCATGTTCCATTGATGTAGGAGGCCTATCATATGTATGATTAAACTTAAAATTAATATAAGGAAAATTATTATAACTTACCCACTCCGAGTATAATTTTGCAAAAAGCAGAGATAATTCCTCTTTCCTATATCTTTATCTCCTATGAGATCCATTAATATAATAAACACTTCATAATGGTAAAACGTGATCTATATATATAAATTTAAATATAAAATTTTTATCATAAGAAATTATACTATCGAATATTTTTATAACTTACGTGTTGCCATAATGTAGACATACATTGCTTCAACATAGATATATCTTCTATTTGCGCAACGACTGCATTACATTTCTTTCTTAATTCATCGACTTCCTCTTTACAGATAAGTAACTCTATAAAATGTTATTCAATTATTAAATTTGCATTCGACATCATGCAAAAATAATATATACATACATAAAAATAATATATAAATAGTATATAAATGTTAAATTGTTAAATACATATTTCCTCTTGTCACAAATACGTATTTACCTTTATTTACGCTTGTATTCGAAATAGTTATCGTTGGATTCCATGTTTTTAATAATACTTGTAAATAATGCAAAAGGCAATCATTGAAATTAAATCCAAAGCTATAACAATAATTCTTTAGTAAGGGAATCATATTCTCTTTATTACTGCTTATGATCTGTTGTAAAATTTCTCTTTTGCTCGAAGCACTATTTGTTAAAACCTCTGAAAATATTCATGTATTAAAATATGTACATACATTAATGTATTCAACAAGATTTGCATTTAATATAAAAATAAAATCGATAATAACGAATATATGTGTATATATATATATGATTTTAACATATTTCGTTACCCATCATGAGCAGGTAGAATGAATTGAATTGAATCGAAAAGTCATCTACTATTTGGCAGTTTACACAATAGTTAACGAGATATTAATTACTAAAAATTGCCAAATATTGGTTTTGAATAATTCAATTTGATAGAAAAACTGCAAGAGACAAAAATCATTTATTTTCTTTTCATAGAACTCTAAAAATTTTTCGGAATTTTTTATTAACTTTTTAACGCTGCATTTTCTTATTTTTACCAACATGAGAAAATACGGTATTAAAAAATTCTGAAAAAATTCTCAGAACTTTTGAAAAGAAAAATGATTTTTAAATTAAAAAGTAAAAAGTAAGTAAAAAATTATTTAACAAGATCAATATTTAGCAATTTTTAAAGTAATTAATATCTTCTTAACTATTGCGAAAATTGGAAAATGGTAGAGGACTTTTCGACTCAGTTTGATTTACTCTATCTGCTCATAATGGGTGACGAAATATGTTAAAATCACCCTGTATATATATATATACACACACACACACACACACACACACAGAGGGTGATTTTAACATATTTTATATATATATATATATATATATATATATATATATATATGAGCGTACCTTTAGAATTTATCGAGTAATGTGACAGTCGTTGGGCCCAAATATGCAATAGTTTGTAATTCTCAAACGTCTTC